GGGGGCGTTGTTTTTTTTAAAAGAGCAATGGTGATGTGTTACTGGAATACGTTAGTCTCCCCATTTCAATATAGAGGACAAAACCAGCATTCATTTTTGCTGCATCGTAGATTAATTAGAGAAATAAGAAAACATGCATCCTGGAAGCTAGTCCTGTTGCCTGAAAATACAGAATTGCTCTCAGTGGCATATTCCCTACTACATTGTCTAGCTCACCAAGATGCCCATGGGATGTTTTGCATTATCAGCCTACTGTTGCCTTGTTAACACCAAGACACTTGGTGTAACACTTGTTAACAACACTCTTCAGTACATAGCCTTCTGGTGCACTCTGAAATTTCTTCAGATACCTGCTCATGGTGAATACCAAGCCATTTCCAGAGCACTGATCCCATCTTATGTGGCAAGATTATTTTCAAAAATTGACAGGCTCAAGAATTATAACCCCTTTGCCTTTTCAAAGGTTACATCTGTTTTACAGTCAAGGAAGAAAATAACAAAGGTCCCAAGCAGCAGAGTTACTGCCACTGGCTGTGGAGTCAACTAAGACTACCATTGGCACCATCATCAAAAGCTACAAAGAAGAGCCATTGGCATGGCAATAAAGTATAAGCCAACTTTAAAACCCACTTCTGACTGTTCATTTGTTGTTGCTTAGGATTATATCACAATATAGGAGTTACTTTGTTTCCCTTCCGAATGGGCAGATGCACAGTTCTGAAGAGCATATTACTAGTGCTGCCCAACAACTTCAGATGAAGACTTCGTAACCCTATCACAAGCATTCTGCATCTTGGGCTAGTTTCCAGAAAATGGGAACTCACAGTAACGCTGCAACATTTTGAAATAAAAAAAGTAAAATTCATAATCTACTTTTGAATTAAACTAAACGTATGAACATCAAAATGAATAGTGCTAAATGCATAGTGCTATTTGAGCTGGCATTGCTGTTACCTTCATTCCTTCTTCTTTCCCATTTGTAATTAGTTCATCTATTCTCTTCTTTTCCTCAGTCTGCCAAAAAGAGAAACGCACAAGTTAGTGCTATTCGGATACATCTTCCTTTCGGCTAAAGAGAAGCATTTCTGTTAGCACTCTCGCTTTTCTAAACAGAATTAAAATCAATGTAAAAAAGTCAAATCACTACCAACAGGTGTATAAAGAGCTGGAAGGCATAAGAACTGCCATTTACTGGGTCAGACCACAGGCCCCTCTTGCCCAGTACCCTGCATCACAGTGGCATAGAGTGGATGCTGAAAGAAAGCGTGAACTGGGTATGGCCAGGGTTTTTTCCACTGTTCCTCTCCTTTAGAAAAATACACATCAGGATTACTAGTGTGATGCTTTGAATTTTTTGTGCCTTGTCTGTATAAACCATTTTATAGATAACAGATAGCCGTGCACATCCTCAAGCATTCAATTGACTAGCAGCATGGAGAAGTGGCTCAATCCCACAGGTCACCAGAGCACATACCTGTAGTTCAGTTTTACTCTTCCTGGAACTTCTTCTAACAGGATAATAATCTGTCACTTTTCGATTCTGGGAGGTTTTTCCTTGTGCTCTGAGGGAGAGAGAAAGGATACATCAATAGTGCAGCTTCTTCCTGGCAGCACAGCCTGAACCCAAGATAATTTGTTAAGAAGTCTTTATTTTCAAGACAGATACTTGGAAAAAGTAAGTTGGCCATCCTGAACAAAAATTAAGCTTTTTACCTGCACCCTTCATCCCAAGCCAACATCTTAAACCTGCATCCCTTTCCCCCCTCCCCCCCCATTAAATCACTAATGTTTCAGTACAAACCCTTCAGAAAAGAGAACCAGACACCTCTGGAAGCACAGTGGGTTAGCTCAAATTATTATTACACAGCAAGTATGTCTCAACAAGATGCTCTAGAACTTCCTTCATCTAAACTACGCAAGAGGGATGCATACATGAGTAAAGAAACCAATGAGGCCAAACCACTGCCTATAAGATTATCTTAACACTTTGGATCTGGCAAAAGAATCTAATTTTATACCCAAAAAGCATGCACCTGAATGACTTGTTAGTACCTTTTGGTAAAGATTAGTGAAAACACTCACCAATTAATATGCAAGCCAGAAAAGTGTGCATGTTAAAGTAAAAAGCAATTTGAAAACTGCATTTTTAATACTATGGTACAATATTCACGCACAAATATTGTTCTTTAGAGCATATTTCACATGATCCAAGTCTCGATGCAGAAAATCTTGCTACAAGCTTGCTTGAAAAAAAAAAAAAAAAATCCAAGATATTATTGTAACATCTAGGAGCTAGAGTCATGAAATAAGACATCGCTGGTCCAGAAGCTGTCCAAATGGAATATGGACACCGTATGATGCCATAAGTCACCTACTTTCTCCTTGGTCCTTTTGCTTTAACCACCTTCTTCTGAGCTTGCTTTGCTTTTGCTGCATCAGTACTATTAGAAGGTAGAGGCATATTCTTTCGAGTTTCTGCAGCTTCTTGATTTTGATTAGGAACAGATGCTGAAGAATCACACCCACTTTCTTTATCTTTCTGGTCTTCTGGTTTTGTAGCACCTTCTATTGGATTACCAGCATTTCTTTTTTCTGTGGATAGAAAAAAAAACAAACCACCCAAACAAACCATACATATAGATATATAGATACACACACACACACACACACACACACACACACACACACACACACACACACACACACACAGAGGACATGGACTAAATTGCCTTCTAGCCTTATTTTCTTCTACACTGCAAAGCACTCTAAAACCTTAAGAATGTTTAACCTGTATTTCATCTGGGTCAAACGATAGGAGTGGGAGGGAGAGCAGAATCATTATGCTTTTTTTCTGCTAGACCTTAAAATTAGAAGTCAATAAGCCAAACTGTAACAAGCTCTGCTTTCTGCATTATGATCATAACCCTACAGGGTACAGAGGGGAAGGGGGGGGGGGGGGGGAGAGAAGGACTGGAGTCCAGGTATTTCAGCAAGTTAGAAAAGTATTTGGATCGCATTCTTAAGTCCCAACATGCATCTGCAGGGAGTCTTGTAACAACTGGACAATTTGCCAAGTCAGTAAGTTTGGTGTACTGAATTTTGAAGTTGGTACAAGAACAGAATCAATAGCCTGCAATGAAAGAGCAACTGTGGCAGTCGGCTGGAACACTGCAGTCCCATTGTTGGCGACCGCAGCTATCATTAAAGCAGCAGCCAATACCAGCCAATGAAAAGCATGGGGACAAAACAAAGATTGAAAAGGAAAAACAACAACAAAAAACCCCTCTCTCCTGGTCTTCTGTACATTGTTGCAAAGCTGCGTACTGTAGTGGGTACTACCTTTTGCTAGCTTCAAAGAAAAGCAGTATGAGAGTGGTGGTGAAAGACTAGGATTCTGGCAAGATTCAAGGTCAATAGCTGTCAACATCAGAGATAACATCCCAGTTCTTCACATAGCCAAGGAGCCTGCAATGGTCCAGGATTCAGCAAACCATTTAAACATGTGCTTAAGCCCAATTAAAAATAAAATAAATAAAAGTCAATGTGTTTAGAGTTAAGAGCTTTACTGAAGAGGGATGAGAGTCCACGTTTGCTCCAGCTTAAGTACATGCTCCAGTACTTTGCCAAATCACAGCCTGAATCTTACACCTCTAGGGGCCTAGTCCAGTCCCCGCTGAAGTCAGTGCTAGTCTTTCCACCATCTCCAACAGAATTGAAACAGGCACCTGCCTGCTGTCAAACTGCAAGCAAATTGAACGTGCTTACCATCCATCCTCAGGGCACTTATTTTTGAAGGGGGAAGATCTTATTCGGGTAGAATATGCTATCTCTTGGGTCAGTCCCAGTCCACTGTGGACACTTAGGCCAGGGAATAAAAAATGCATCCTTTTTCTCAGTTGATGGATTTGTAGTTAGCGGAGCATGGCTTAGGGTTGGCTCAGCTTATTTTCTATTTAAGGGAAGTGTGAAGCCTGTGTTAAAGGATGCGTAGGTAAGAAATCCAAGTTATAGTACAACTACTCTGAGCAGATGCAAAGTCCCATGCAGGCAGGAAGACATGCAAGAAGCATGTCACCTCGGTTCCATCCAAAAACCCAGATGCATGCAAATTGGAGTCCTTAAGCCTTTTCACCCATTGTGCCAGAAATGCTAATACCCCCCGCAAGATCTGCACCTTTAACAAAGATTGGTATAAAATTCTCTAATTGATTTGTGCAATATTCCCATCTGGTGCATAGCTTCACATGTTCCATTACATGACAAAAAAGATAGTCTAGTCTCAGAATCCATTTTCAAGATCCATTTCCCACCCACCTCTCAACTTTATCTGCACAGATATTCGTTAGCTCCTCCTCTCCTTCAAATCTTTCTAGCCTAGGTGGTTCCTTAGTGCATCTTCCATTGTAAATAGGTTCATGCAAAAAAACAGCTTGCTTACTAAAGCTAAGGAGGCCCATTCAAATTGTGACATGATCTGCAGTTATGGGATAGTAATGTGGTAATTTACTAGTTATTAATCCTACACCCAGGGCAAGGAAGCAAATAAGCAGAGACAAAACAAGAGAACATTTACCCAAGCAGCTAAGTTATGTATTTTAAGACAAGCTGCCAAAGGGCTGCAAACCTCCCCAAGACCTCACTGCAAGAAGGGGGGCGGGGGGAAGTGGGAAAGCAGATGGTTTACAAGAGAATATTAAGCTGTCCCCAATTTTGAAAGTTTAAAGACACAAAGCTTACAGAGAAGGCACATATCCTAAGCCACAAGTAACCTACTGAAAAGTCAATCTTACCATCTCCTTTTCTGCACGTTTCATTTATTGTTTTGCCCTGACACTTCACTTCGTGATGCATGACACAGTTTTCTTCTTGAAGTGGAGGACGAGCACCTGGAGATTTGTTAGGATTCAGGTAGGTGTAGATTTTGGACTGACCAATAAATACGTTCTCCTAAAACAACCCACACAAAGATCAGTACATCGCAGGAATCACCAGGCTCATGCCTCCAGTTGGTCTCTACAACATACTACATAGGATAACAGCTAGTTGAAGCAGTACAATTTTCAGCTGTAAAGCAGAGGCTACATCAGCCTTGCCATTATGGCCACCTATATCCAAACCTTGCACCTGTGGTAATGGCTTGTACAGAACTTGCTCTGCAAGTTTGCAGCACAGAAGTGTTTCCTTGAAACAAATTATTAGGTTATTTGAATGAGTCATTAAGATATAACTCTGTATTCTGATGTAGAATCAACATTACGTAGTTTAAATGAGAGATGCAGGTACTACTCTGGGGACAGAATTCGGACTCAAAAGCCTTTAAAAAAGCAGGTGGGGCAAATCTGAAGTTCTCTCTTAAAAAAACAAAAACAAACTATTGCATTTTGGTTATTTTTGCATCTACCACAGGACAGAGACTCAGAATAATACGTTACCATTATTTTGAGTTTAATATTCTTCCAGAAATAAGGCTTTGGTCATTCTAGGCTTTTTTAAATTGCTTTGGGAATTTCTTTTCAGTACTCTCTCCCACTCCCCTTTGTGTGTTCCTCTCTAAAAATCAATTAGGGGAATTTCCTTCAATACCAATAGTACAATGATACCTCCTATCAACTCCCACCCCCCCAAAACACAAAAACCTAAAAAACAAAACAAAATAAAGGTCACTGATACCTACAGGATCAGGAAGAGTGTTTGGCTAGTAGCAACATTTAAAGATATTACAGAGCACAGCAGCAGTTCCCAAACTGGCAGATTATGCACCACCAATTTAAAACTATACAAGTATCACCAGCAATTTTTTGTCATATAAAAGTAATTATAATAGGTCTGTTAATGCGTACCACTGGTGGTATGCATACCACAGATTGGGAATCGCTGGTGCATCGTATAAGCAGTGCGCTCCAAGATTTACAATTTGTCAGGTACATATTAAATGATTCTATGGCTCAGTGTAGAACGCAGTAAAGCAGAGCTGGAATCCAAAAGTAGTTCTTCCCAATATACAGCTTCACGCAAAATTCAATTACTATCTTTTGCTTCTACCATGCTGAGACCAGGCTGGTGTGCAGCACCATGGGACACTGAGTTTGGTACAAGTTTTCCTTCTTTATACTTTAGAGAATCTCGGCTTTGATTTTACAGCAAAATCCTCAGAAGCATTACCAACGCAACAAAGGTTTGCCCAAGTCTGGGATGTTAGGGGTGAAGGTCCCAGATGTAAACTTTTTTCAGTGAAGTTAAATGTCATCATTGCTAATGACACTACATATTGGGCATTTGGAAAACAGAAAAGGAAGTCAGAGGTCTGAAGTCGACTTGTAGTGCCAAAATGAGATGTCACTCAAAGTGGATATCTCTGGGATCAGATCTTCTGAGGTCCCTTCCAGCCCTAATGTCTACAAAATCTATGAAAAGTAAGACTTTTATTCACACCCCCAAATCAAACAAATTAACTCAGCTGGGCATTTAGTCCCATGGAGACACAAAGCATATTCATCTTCCTTGAAAATGAGCCAAGCAGACTTTGGGAGAGCAGGCAGTCTACCGCAAACAGTCCCTTATACAGGCTGTTTGTGCAGGGAGGGTCCACTTTGAGAAGCCTAGAAGAACACTCATTGATTCCCTCCACCACCAGCATTTAATAAGTTTGTAAATCATATGAAGATTATGACTCGTTAGCCCCAGTGCCTTGATAAGCAAGTGTGACTTGGCCAGACTAAAATCATCTCAGCGACTAGAAGAAGCTGTCAGATTCAAACTCATCCAAAAAAATTCCACGTATATTAAAAGAAACTTTAAAGGAAAGGATAAAGGTATGCCAGAATGATGGCACACGAGCATGAGCCGTTAGAAGGGACATAAAAAAAAAAAACAAAAAAAAACCAACACAGTTTTATTTGTTCCTAATGACTACTCAGTTACAAAATACAAGCATCCAGCCTCACTGCTGCGTCTGTAGCTGGTTGAAGCCAGATCAGAGGGGCAGAGGAGTACATTTTGCACGGATAGCGGCAGTACACGCACGTCTGAGCCAGGAACAAAGATCAGTCACACATCCAGGCCCTGTTCCCGCAGCCAGCTCCACGGACCAGCGAGCACACGTGGCGCCTCAGGCAGGGACTTCAACGAGCCTCTGTCTGCCAAGCAAGGGCCTGAAACAGCTAAATTATAACCTAGAAGAAGTAAACCAATTGGCAAAGTGGTTTTCAATCGGGACAACTCTGCTGGCCGACTATCTGGGAGAACCAGGTTTTCTAGTTCAGTTTCCTCTCAGATGCACGAGAGGAGTGGCTGGACACGTTGCTCCAGTCTGTGGTGGCAGCAGCAGCGAGAGAAAACCATCAGGGAAACTGAGGGGCTTTTAAATGTTGCTGCCAGAGACCAACTGCTCTGTTTTATGAAGAGCCCAGGCACCAGTTAGGACTTTCAGCCTCCACTTTCCACCCCCCTCTAACAGATCAGCCCTGTAAATAACCTCTTAGAGAAAAGGAAAGCTGAGGAGAAGACCCTTAGCCCGTCCTAGCACGCCAGGCTGACATTTCAAGGACCAGCGGTGCCTGGCCCAGCAGGCTCCAAGGAACATGGCATCATGA